AGATATCTAGCAATTACTCATCTTGTTTTTATATTTTATTTTTATTATTTTATTTTTAAAAATTTTTCTGTATTTAGGAAATTTTTTTATGTTTTTCTGTATTTAGGGCAGGGTCTACAGGGTGTTCAGGGTCTTACTATGTAGATTGGACTCTTAGTGATTCTGTTTACAGCCTCCCAAGTGCTGGGATTATAGACTTGCGCCACCGCACCCAGTCTCAGTCGCCCTCTCAGCACACCCCAGGCTGAGGGGCTCGCAAAGGCATACCAGAAATCCAAAATCCAGGGATCAAACCCTGGCTTTGTGCACTGCCTAGGCAGGCACATTAGTCCACTGAGCTATCTGGCCGGCTTCCTTGGTTTCTTTTCTTTTTTTTTTTTTATGAGCAGAATATATTTATTGAGAGAAAAAAGCTCCTGTCCAAGAGAGGGACAGGAGGAGGGGTCCTTGGTTTCTTGATTAGCCACTTCAGCTTGTTTTCCCTTGGCTCTCCTTTTTTTCCCTTTTGCTTACACTTTTTTGTCCAAAGATTTATCCTTGACAGCTGCCTTCTTTGGTTTCCTTTCCACTTTAGCAGGAACAGGTTTAGCTGACAACCTCACCGATCTCCTCTTGGGCTTCTTCTTCGCTGCCCCTTTGGCGGCCGGGTGAGCTGACCTTCCTCTTGTGCATCTCGGGAGGTGCAGGGGTGCCTGCGCAGAAGCTGTGGGCTGAGGCGGGGCAGCCTCCCGGAGCTACTCCCACTGTCAGAGCTGCTGATCTGGTGCCCTTCTTGCACAGCCACAATCCAGTCTCTCCTGAAGGCCCTCCCTGTGCATGCAGGAAGCTCTGGATGCATGTGGGGGCAGTAAGCTCTAAGCTGCACCAGTCTCCAGTCATTGGCTTCAACACCGAGAGAGAGGGCTTGGTGGTCTAGGCAGAGGAAAACTGCTCTCCTCGTAGCCAGGAGGTGGAGCGCTAAGGGATGATCCAGGGAGAGACCCTTGTAAGTTGCTTCTGCCTCCGCAGCACCTTCACCTGTGAATTCGCTAGTGGATGAATCCACTGAGCACTAAGCACCCTCACGGTCCAGCTGCCTTCTGAGTTCTCCTCTGAACGTGAGGCTTCTGGGCAACATTTCTTATCCAAACCGTATGCAGCACATTTCTGAACCACCCACCACACACTCAAAATGCCCAAACCCAGAGAACCCTCACAACCTGGGAGTGTGCCCCTGCCCTGGCTCTTCTCACTTCAGGCCCCAGTCTTACCTGTGAGTGAGATGAGTCAGAGCTCTGGGCGCTGTCACTGTTGGCAGAAGAAAGGCAGGACAGGTCAGGACTCACAGAAGACATGGGCGGGGGAGGAGTCATGGGGCAGGTGAGCTCTCTAAGGGCTCCTGTCAGCTACACCCAAAGGGACCTGGGGATCCCACCACCTGGTACTTACAGTTGGCCTTACGGTGGTGATACATCCTTATACCTGTGGGAAGAAATATGCTGAGAAAGGTCGAGAAGGAATAATAATGAGGGTCTAGAGGATTTTTCTAGTCCTGGAGCCCAGGGAAGTTTCCACAACTGGGATGCAGACCCAGGGAAAGATTAGGAGGCATGAGGAAAGGACATGTTTAGGACCTGGTCCAACTGCCCTGTGCAGCTCTGTCCCCAGCAGGGACCTACCCCTCTTCCTGACTGCTGGGAATCACGTCCCCATCACCACATGCAACTGGGTGAAGACTCTGTCCTGGTCCTTGTGCTTTACAACGGAGCTGGGGGCTTGGGCTGGGTAAGTGCTAGCATTCAGCATGAGGCGGGTGCACTTCCACCTGGGGCCCGACCCCTGAACACTCAGGCCCTGACCCCTTCTTACCTGCCCTCTGTCTCCTCCACATCACAAGAGCCACCACAGCAGTGACCACAAGGAGAACGATGATGGCAGCAAAGCCTACTGCGGCAGCAGAGACTCCTCCAGTGGGGAAGGTGGACTGAGGAGAGGGCTCTGGGAAGGGAAGAGAAGGTGACTGGTCCTGTGCCAGGTGCCAGCCCTGAGCTCTCAAGGACAGGACATCTCCTCTTTTCCCTGAAAGAAGGCCCTGTGGCCCCCTTACCCCCTGTCAGGGTGCGGGGCTCAGGCAGCCCCTCATGCTGCACACGGCACGTGTACTTCTGCTCCTCTCCGGGAGGCACCACCACAGCCACCCACTTCTGGAAGGTTCCACTCCCATCGGGCCTGGTCTCCACCAGCTCCATGTCCTGGGTCAGGTCCTGCCCATCCCTCTGCCAGGTCATGGTGATCTCCTCAGGGTAGAAGCCCAGGGCCCAGCACCTCAGGGTGACCTCTTCCTTGGAGATGGGGTGGTGGGTCACATGTGTCTCTGGGGGATCTGAGGGGGAGAGAAGGACAATTTGCAACCTCCTATTTCTTCCCTCAGGCCATGGAAGAGAGGCTCAAGATCATCCTGAAAATGGATTGGGCAACTGAGGCAGGGTTTGGTGCCCAAAACCTAGAGGCCAGCCTGGATTCAGCCACCAGGATTGCCTGTTCCTCGGAAACTTCCAGGATCAGTGTGAGACAGCCCAGGGTAAGAGGCTCCAGGTCTCTAGGATGGGTGGGGAGAAGGGGTTCTGGTGCTGCTCTGGGTGTTTACTGGGGAGTCAGAAATGCTGGAGGTCTTTCCAGGGACACAGTAGGGGGCAGAGAACAAGTTCCTGACAGCACAATTCTCCAGACTTTGAAAAGGTCAGAGTAACAGAACGCTATGGATGAGAACATTCCCCTTTATCCTGGAGACGCTGGTTTTTCCAGTTCCTGACCACAGCAGCCCCTTGATCGTTCCTCCGCCCAAGATCTGGATACCCAAGGGATTCCCATCCTCTCCCCATGCCAGGGGCTAGTAATTCTGATCTCCATCCTGTTTTCTTGCCTTTTCCCCCCACTTTTGGTAATGATGGGGATGGCACCCAGGACCTCGTGCACACGCTCGCCTAATGCCCACCACTGCACAGCAGCCAGCCAGCCCCTTCTGCTCTCGCAGGGTCCTCAACCCCAGCCACGGACCAGCACTGGTCAGGACCTCACAGGAACCGGTCAACAGCAGGAGCAAAGCCAGGGGAGCTTCACTGGCAGTCACAGCCGCTCCCCTGCACTGGCTTGCTGTCAGAGCCGCAGCAGCCTCGGATTCTGGTGGGGCTGCAGTGGCGCAGGGGCGCAGGAGCACAGCGGAGCAGGAGCGGGCCCCAGCCTGACTGCGCTGCGAGGGACCCAGAATGTACTCCTTAGGAAAGTCTGATCCAGCGACCGAACCCTCCCAGCTCCAGCAAGGAAAAACTGTCTTCAGTGGAGCCGGGCTCTGGCGCTAAGACGGCTGGCACCGCCGCTGCTTCCGCAGCAGATGTGCGCGCAGCCAGCCCCGGGCCAGGGGTGGAAGGGAACCGCGCTGTGGCTCGTACCTGCGCGCAGCAGCGTCTCCTTCCCTTTTTCCAGGTATCTGAGGAGCCACTCCACGCACTCTCCTCGCAGGTAGGCCCGCTGCTGCTCTGTGTCTCCAGCTTCCTCTGATTTGTCCCTGGATATCTGGGCAGGCAGGCCCACCGCAGTCCAGGACTTCAGGTCCTCGTTGAGGGCGAGGTAGTCCACGCCGTCGTAGGCGAACTGCGAGTACCCGCGGAGGAAGCGTCCGTCCTCCAGGATATCACAACCAGACGTCCACTGGAGCGTGTGAGAGCCTGGGCGCATCCGGGCGGTCAGCGGGCTCGCGGGAGCAGTCGCCCCTCGCGCAGCCTAGCCCGCCTGGGTCAGCTCGCCCCTTAGCCCCGCCCCTCCCCGCCCCTTAGCCCCAAGCCCCGCCCCTTAGCCCCAAGCCCCGCCCCTTCACCCCTTAGCCCCAAGCCCCGCCCCTTAGTCCCAAGCCCCGCCCCCTCA